CTATTGTAAATAATGCTTCAGTGAACATCAGTGTGCAAATATCGCTTTGAAATCGTGATTTTAATTCTTTTGGGGATATACCCAAAACTGGGATTGCTGAGTCATATGGTAGTTCTATTTTTAATTTTTTGAGGAACCTCCATAGTGTTTTCCATAGGGCTGCAACATTTTACATTACTAACCAGCAGTACACAGGGTTCCATTATCTTCATCCTTGCCAACACTTGTTATTTTCTGTTTTGTGTTTGTTTTGTTTTGTTAGTGGCTGTCCTAATGAGTGGTTTTGATTTTCATTTTTCTGATGATTGGTGATGCTGGGCATCTTTTTTCATATGGTTCTTGGCCATTTGTGTGTCTTTTTGGAGAAGTGTCTATTCAAGTTCTTTGCCCATTTTTTTAAAATTGAGTTATTTTTGCTTTGTGTTGTAGAGGTGTAAGATATAAACTCTGGATAGTAACACCTTATCAAATATTATCGTTTGCAAATATTTTCTCCCATCTTGTTCATTGCCTTTTCACTCTGTTGATTGTTTTCTTTGTTGTGTAGAAGCTTTTTAGTTTGATGTAGTTCCATTTGTCTAATTTTGATTTTGTTTTCTGTGCTTTGGTGTCATTCAAGAAATCATTGCCACGACTGATATCATGAAGCGTTCTCCTATGTTTTCTTCTAGGATTTTTGTGGCTTCAGGTCTTACATTAAGTCCTTGATGCATTTTTAGCTAATTTTTATATATGGTGAGATAAAGGTCCAATTTCATTCTTTTGCCTACAGATATCCAGTTGTCTCATTACCATTTATTGAAGAGACCATCCTTTTGCATTGTATATTCTTGGCACCCTCATTGAAGATCATTTGACCATGGTTTATTTCTGGTACCAAAGTTTATTTCTGGGCTGTGTATTCTGTGCCATTGGTCTATATGTCTGTCTTTATGCAAGTACCATATTGTTTTGATTACTGTAGCTTTGTAATATCGTTTGACATCAGAAAATGTGATGCTTCCAGGTTTTGTTTTTCTTTCTCAAGATTGTTTTGGCTTTTGGAGTCCTTTGAGACTCCATATGAATTTTTGTTTTCTATTTTTGCAAAAAATGTCATTGGGATTTTGATGGGGATTGCATTGAATCTGTAGATCGCTTTGGGTATATGGACATTTTAACAATATTAACTCTTTCAATCCATGAACATGGACGTCTTCCTATTTATTTGTGTCTTTGCTGTGCTGATCCAGGTCCCAGAGCCATAGTTATGCTGTTCTCTGTCCTTGACCTCCTGACCTTCACCCCGGCTGCTCCTTTGATTTGGAACAGGCATGTGTTTCTCATAAGCTCTGCAGGCTCAGCCTCTGAAACCCTCCTCTGGGAGACAAGCTCAACAGGAGCTTCTTCCTGTGTCCTAAAGACTACCAGCATCCTTAAATGCCTGGCTATGTCACCTACCGAATCAGGCTGGGAGTGACCTGTCTGTGATATCCTTAGGGAGACAGACCTATGGTCAGCACCTAAAAGAGTGGGAGAAAATAAGTAATTTAAGTCATTGGCATACATTCAGCAACAAGTGCAACTCAGGAAGAAACAAGAACTAGGCAACACAAAGACTGAGTTATACTGGGTTGTCAGAAAAGTCATGATGCATTTTTGCAACGAAAAACAGAAAAAATACGTCATGACTTTTCCCACAACCCAATAGTTACTCCAAAGGAGTTGAATTTGGTTAAACTCTTGTATATTTTGTTATTAAAATTGTAAAGAATGGATTTAGAATAATTTTGTTACTTTTAGCATCCCACCCTCACAAGTTTTCCTCCTGGTGACTCAGTCATGCATAGTATATTTTTTGAAACTTTATCATTGTAGAATTCTTTCCTTCATTGCTGTTACTATATATAAAAATGACAATGCTTTTTAAATTCCATTTCTAATGCATGATTTTGTCCTAGAATTATTAAAAAAAATACCATGGTGTCATTTATTAATATCTTATAGTCTAACATCTAAGACTTAGACTTAGTGTCTTAGAATATTATTTTTGAATTAGGTGTATCAGTGCTTCAAATAAATTAATGGAAGTTTAAAGTGCTTTATAATTTATCAAGCAGAAGAAACATATCACCATTATTTGAGAATAAACAGTAAATTGGTGTTTTTTTTAAATCATGGAAATACTTTCCAAGGCTGTTTGCCGGAAGAATATGTAATGTCTTTGTGGTTTGGGCTCTGTCATTTTTAGCGTTCCCTTGGTGGCTTCCAGACATAACAACATACACCAAAGAAGGGGAAAAATTCTCAAGAACATTCCATGGTCTGATCTTGATTTTAAAATAGTTCTAAGTATAATAGGAAAAGGATTCATCAAAAATAATAAATTTATTACAGGGCAAACTCAGAACTCAAGTCTCCAAGAAAGAGGCATGTAACTCAAAGCACAGGGCTGAGTAGGTGGGCCAGAGGAAGACATGGTTTTTGGTTAAAACCACTCTTCAGGATGGCCTATTGCCTGCGGTGTGGGGATGGGAGACTCACACAGAGGGAGAGAGACAAAGGCAGGGAGCCATAGTCGCTATGGGTGGGGCAGGGGCAGCTGGCTTCCCTTCCCGCCTTTGCAGCCAGCACAAGTGACCAGCTGGACTCTTTTTTCTTAAATTTCAATCTTCTCTGGCAGCAGCAAAGCATATGTCACTCTTTGAGGGTCTAGTCTTCTATTGTGAGAACCTGATTGTAGTCAAAGGGAAAACCTGGAGCTCCAGCCGGGGACTTGAGTATATCAAATGCCCCAGGAAGTTGACCGGGAAAGAGAGAGAGGAGGCCCAGTTAACTTGGGGAGAATTACTCAGGGAAAACATATACCTCAGTTTTTTTTAAAAAATGGAATGTAAACTAATTACACACCGGTTGGGGTGGGAAGCGAGTGAGTAAAGGTAGTTTGTATAATTCATTGGCACTTGTAAAAGCAGCCTTCAGCCCTAAAGACAGAGTGGTTAGATTCCTTGAGAAAACTGTTGGTAGCCACTGCCTGCATCCTTAGCTGTCGTTCCTCAGAGCGGGCTTTCTGACCCTCCACTTAAAACAGCCAACCTCCCAGGAGGCCGCCTGGTGGGCTGGATGGCACGTAGCTTTGTTGCTCACAAACTACAATTTGTTTACATACAAACCTATCCATCTGCATCCATACATTGCATCGCTTTCTGGTATTTTCTCTTTGGCTCCCTGGGCACACTGTCTCTCTTCCCAAGAGGGTGGTGGCTTCTGAAAAAGCAGTGGAGGCTAAGAGGCAGGAGGTGAGCTTGGCTCAGGAGGCCGGGCCGCTCATTTCCCTGGCGCAGTCCTGGGAGGCCTCCCGCCCTAGCCGATCCCCTGTGACTCCACCCGAGTAGGGAAAGGGTGCAGCAGGGAGGAGAGAGGGACTTGACCCACTCTGCAGTTTTCATTCACATTCCTAATGTCTGCTGAGCCCTGACACTGTCCCAGGCACTGATTCAGACCCGGGAATATGGTGGTGAACAAGGCAGACCAAAGCCCTGCCCTCACGGGGTTTACTTTCTAGGGGGAGACAGACGATAAAGAGGCAGGTAAGGGTAATAAATAGGGAGAGAGGGGAACACATGGAGAAAGATGCAGAAGAGTAAGGAGATAGAGTGATGGGGGTGGGTAGGCTGTTTCAAGCGGGGGCTCTGAGGAGTGACATGAATGAACGGTGGGAGCCATGGGCTCTCTGGGGAGAGAGCGTTCTGGGCAGAGGAAGTGGTCGGTGCAAAGGCCCTGAGGCTGGTGGGTTTCAGAGGCAGCCTGAAGGCCGGTCTGACTAGAACAGGGTGAGACAGGGGTGGCAGGAGATGTGTTTGGAGAGGAAAGCAGAGTCACATGTTTTAGGGACTTTTTACTTTTAGTAGTGAATACTTACTCCAAAGGAGGTGGATTTGATTAAACTTGTATTTTGTTATTGAAACTGTAAATATTTGGTTCTAAGTCAGATGAGAACACTTTGAGCCACATCATGACATAGTCTGATTCTTGTGTTTAAAATACTACTCCGGCCTCTGGTCGAAAATAAGACTGGCCTGAGGCTGAGAATGGCATCCGAGGGCCGAGTTACAGAGCTGGTCAGTTGTGCTCGTACGCGATGGCGTGGCTTGGACATGTGGTGGAGGTGAGGGTGCTGAGAGCGGGTAGGACTCAGGATAGACTTCAGGTAAAGCTGATCGGGAGGAGCTACCTCCCTCTCTCCTCCTTCCTAAGACCGGGCAGCAAAACTCCTCCCCTGAAAATGGGCCCTGGGGGAAAAAGCCGCCTGTCTAGTCCTGTCTGGGGAACCCCAAAAGACAAGGAAGGTGTGGGAGACAGGGCCTGAGTGGAGGGCTCTGCCCCCTCCCTTGTGGTGGAATAGCACTTCACAGTTTATAAAGCACTTGTCATTTTCATCCTCACTTACCAACACTGTGAACAAGGCAGGGCAGATGCTGTTACCTGTGTGTTGTAGGTGAGACGACCAGAGCTGCTCGCCGTGAGAGAGATGACAGTTTATAGAGATGGAAAGCACTTTGATATCATCAGGAATAAAGACCACTGATTTCTGCTCTGGGAAAAGAACACACATGGCCTGTACTGAGGGGACCCAGCTGAGATTTTAGTGGTCAGGTTGTGGTTCACATTTTCCCTTTCCTAAATTTTCTTTTGACATAATGTCGTTTGTGTAATTTAAAAAGAAGCAAAACATTCCCATTCCATGGCATTAGGCCAAAAAGAAATTGAATTACTAAAACTATTTGGAAAAAGAGCTTCTGATTGCATTGAAGCAGCAGCCAGCTCTGACTACAGACACCTCACAATGTTGAGAGGAGGTCTGTGGCAGAGCTAAGGAGGTCTTCATCCATTGCCCTAATTTCTATCCACTCTTTGATTCAGGGGTGTCTTCCTTGGAAGGGGTGCCTGCTGAATTTTTTTTTTCTTTCTTTTTTTCTACTTCTGACATGTTCTAATAAATTTCCAAACATTCTTTACAGCTTAGAGCATCCTCAGCCTCCAAGTGGACTCGTCATTGACAAGGAATCTGAAGTTTACAAGATGCTGCAGGAGAAACAGGAATTAAATGAGCCCCCGAAACAGTCCACTTCATTCCTGGTTTTGCAGGAAATCCTGGAGTCTGAGGAGAAAGGTAATCAGCGTGTGGTCAGAGTGTCTTGTTTAAGGCCAGGTGTGAGGACCAGTCAGGGCTGAAACAAAGTGGACGGAGCCCCCATTAGGTGGAAAGAGCACAGTGTGCTTTGGAAGGCATGGCTTTCAAAATGCTAAAAGCGGGGAGAGAGAGAGAGAGAGAGACAGAGAGAGAGAAATATGAATGTGATCCCAGCCTCCTGTCTAGCTGGTTCCTGTCACCTGTGCATTAGGAGGCTGAGGTCATGGTGACCTTGACTGGTGGGATTCTGTTGGTCTGTCGCTTGGCAGTTTGTTTGGTTTGCGCCCACATAGCACGCCTCTGTGGTGGTTGACACGTGTGAATAGGTGAAGACCACGGGCAATGACAAGCAGAGTGAAAATGAATGAGCAGCACAGTGAAGCCAGGCACTGGGCTTTCACTTGGTGGCCATGCGTTTGCTCTTGCTCTAGGGTGGATGGCCTCCTGAGAGGCTCAGAGACCTAGTGTGGCCACGCCCTCTCCATGTGACCTTAGGCAAGTCTCTGAGCCTTCCCAGGCCTGTTTTGTCATCTGCCAGCCAGGAATAAAAATCCTTTCCTCTCAGACTGGTGTGAGGTTCAAATGTCATGAACTGCACTGAACACCCGTCACCGTGACGGGCACACTGTAGGTGCCTCATAACTATTATGAAGCTGGAAACCTCAGCAGGAGGCTCTAGGCCAGCCTCCGCTTGTCCACGGTGTGAGCGCATGCCCAAGGCACCGAGGGCCACCCCATGTGGCTCTGGAGGTCTCAGGAGATAGTCTTTACATTGTAGGCATCCTATACTGTATTTATTATGGTAATTTTTCTTTTTTCTTTTTTTTTCTTTTTTAAATTTTATTAAATTGATTGGGGTGACATTGGTTAGTAAAATTATATAGTTTTGAGTATACATTTCTATAATACGTCATCTATAGATTGCATTGCTTGTTTATCACCAGTCAGTTCTCTGTCCATCACCATATATTTGACCCGCTTTACCCTTTTCTACTTCCTCCCAACCCCCCTTTCCCTCTGGTAACCACCATACTGTTTTCTGTGTCTATGAGTTTTTATTTGTCTTGTTTGTTGCTTTCAGTTTTATAGCCCACATATGAGTGAAATCATATGATTCTCAACTTTTTCTGTCTTATTCCACTTAGCATGATGCTGCAAATAGCAGTATTTCATCTTTTCTTATGGCTGAGTAATATTCCATTGTGTGTATGTATCACATCTTCTTTATCCAGTCCTCTATCGGACGCTTTGTTTCTATATTTTGGCCATAATGCTGCAGTGAACATAGGGGTACATACATCTTTATGGAGAAATGTTTTCAGATTTTTTTTTGTTCTTTTTTTTTAAAGATTTTATTGGGGAATTGGGGAGGGGAACAGTGTTGGGGAATTGGGGAAGGGAACATTGTGTTTTTCCAGGACCTATCAGTTCCAAGTCAAGTTGTTGTCCTTCTATCTTAGTTGTGGAGGGCGCAGCTCAGCTCCAAGTCCAGTAGCCATTTTCAATCTTAGTTGTCGGGGGATGGGGGCGCAGCCCACCATCCCATGCAGGAGTCAAACCGGCAGCCTTGTTGTTAAGAGCATGCGCTCTCACCAGCTGAGCCATCCAGCCGCCCGTTGGCAGCTCAGTGGCAGCTCATTTCGGGCTCAGCTCACTGGCCCATGTGGGAATTGAATCGGCGACCCTGTTGCTCAGAGCTCGCTCTTTAACCAACTGCACCACCCGGCCGGCCCTATTATGGTAATTTTCAAGTGGAGAACAGCAAAACTATCTTAATTCAATGACAACAGTATATTATGAGAAAATCTTGACAGATGGGTGTGTTGAAAAAGGGATGCTTTCCCTCGTTCTCACAAAGGCGCCCTGAGAGCAGCAGCGCTCAGGCTCACTCACCTCCCAGGTGTTTACTCTCAGCACCTTTTGAGTCTCATGTTCAGCCGAGCTAGGAATGATTTTGCTGGAGGGTTGGGTCTCGTACTCCTTCCTGGCTCCTGTGATGCCCAGCCCTCCACACTCTGCCTTTGTCCCTTTCTCTGAGGCTCAGGTACTTCACAGGAGTTCAGCTTCCTACTTGTCTCTCTACGTCTCTCCAACATGTCCACCTGTGAAGAGAGAGTTGGGGCTTCTGGGAGGGACACCTGGAGCTTCTGATAGTCAGGCTGCTTCGGCCAGGCCCCGGAGGGACTGACTTGTCTGCTCAGCGGAGCCAGTGAGGCTCAGACCTGAGTGCCCCCTGGAAGGAAGAGTAACCCCCCTCTGCAAAGCGCCCAGCTGCAGAGTCAGCCTCCTGGGAGCCCTGCCCTGAGCTGAAAGTTCCCTGCTGACCACACCCAACACCCAGGCTTCTTCCCCGTGTGGGTGCGTTCTTTAGAGAAGTTGGCCATTTACAAGCACGGGAAATTAGGGAAAAAGTTCTTTTATGCTCAAAGGATATTATTGCTCTACCTGTAATTTCCCCCCGTGCTTGGAGTACCTGTGCCATTGAGAAGCAATGAGCCCTACTGTGTAATAAGTTCCAGTATGAGGTCCTCCTGACACTTGACTTGGGGGCCAACCCTAAAGGATGACAGTTTTGTCAAAACACAAGAAACCACAACTTACTCTACTCTGAGTAGTGAGCCCTTGAGTTAAGAGAGGAAGAGTCAGCCTATTCCAAAGTAGGACGTAGACACTGTAGAGGTCACCTAGACCGGGGGTCGGCAAACTTTTGAGACGGAAGCGCTGGCCAGGAGAAAGGGTCTTGTGTTCCTCATGCTTCATCTTGCCCTGGATCAAACTCCAAAATTTGCAGGGAGAAGGATGCATTTTTTTTTTAATACATTCTGGCGAAATAAATACATCTGACAAAAAATGTACCATCTTAACCATTTTTAAGTATACATACAATACAGCGGCATTAAGTACATTCATATTGTTGTTCTACCGTCACCACCATTCCCCACAGAACTCTTTATCTTGCAAAGCTGAAACTCCACCTCTGAAACACTAACTCCTGATTGCCTGCTCCCCCAACTGCTGGAAACCACCATTCTACTTTCTGTTTCCATGAGTTAGACTACCCCAAGTGCTTCACATGAGTGGACTCCTACAGTATTTATCATTCTGTGACTGGCTTATTTTCACTTAGCATAATGTCCTCAAGGTTCATTCATGTTGTAGCACGTGTCAGCATTTCCTTCCTTTTTAAGGCTGAATAATATTCTTTAATATGTATGTGCCACATCCTGTTTATCTGTTCATCCATCCACTGAAGGAGATTTTTAACAAGAGGAAACTTGAAGGGAGGCATGGACTGAGAAAACGCAGGGGCTCTGAGATAAGAAAGCTGGAGTCTTGCTCATTAAGTATCAACGCTCATTTTGGCTGGTGCCCGGTGTTCCAGGAGAATTCTGGTGGTCAAATCATGAGGACCACCAGGGGCTAGGTCAAGGACCATGAATTCGATTCTCTAGGCATGGTGGAGCCGTGGAAGGTGATTGAGCAGTGAAGTGGATGGAAAGAAAGCTGTGCTTTACTCAACTCATTTTCACTTTTTTTCCAGAAAGCTGTGAGCTTCAAGGTTCACTGGAAGAAGAGAAATTTCAAAATGTTTGTAGTTGCCCAGAGTCTCAAGGGAGCTGATCTTTTTACTGTAAGCTAGTTGAGAGGGAAAGAAGAAGTGAAATTTCTTTGCATTTTCGATGTTGACTAAATAAGTGAGAGAAGAAACTCGAGCCAGCAGGTGGCGCTGCAGGGCTGAACAAGCCCCAGCCAGGATGGCTTTAGCCAGCACACAGCCTCCTCTGCTCCTGTTGTGCCGTTTCATTGAGTTCACTTTTCTTTATTCCAAAATCAGTTGTGGATTCTCCTCGTATGAAGTGAGGCTTGCGTGTCTCTCCTTTCTTCTCTCCTTCCATCCTCTTGCACCTCCTGCCCTTTCCTGGAAATTTTTGTGCTGATTGAATGAGTTAGGTGAAAAACACAGCCCATCACATAAAAGACTCTGACCGCCTTGAGTTGGTTCTCTCAGCATAGTCTGTTTCCTTTCCAAGCTGTCCAGATATGCAGAGATGCTGCCATGTCCTTCTTCTCTCAGAGTGTAGGCAGACGAGGTGGCTCCAGCACCAACAGCCAGAAGATGAGGGAGCCCACTTGGGATGCTTGGCGGCACAAAGCTGCCCGCCCAGGCCCTTCTGAGTTCTCTATAGGGGACCAGGATCAGGGTGAGCTGAGGAAGGCATTCGCCTTGGGCGCAAGATTTAAGGGGGCACCCAAAAAAACTCAATAATCAAGACACAAATGATACTTCAATGCAATGTTTTCCAAAAAATCACATTTTTTTTGCAAAAAATATTAATACCAAAGAACAATCCATAATGAACAAAGTTGGGACTGTGGCTAAAGAGGCGGGGAGGAAGGTTTGGGGAGGCAAGGCGGTCCCTTGGGCTTGGGGATAACCAAAGCACCAAGGTGGTTTCCTTGATGCCCCTGCCGACGGGACAGCACCAGTCCTTCCCCAAGCCTGTCTGTTGAGCTCACAGCTGAAAATGGTGGAAACTGCAGAGCTTCCTCCTCGCTGCCCCTTCTCACATGGTGCCAGATGGACATCTGTTCATCAGCTCCTCAATGCAGGACATTCCCAGCCTTGCTGGGGGAAACCTGAGAGATTGTGTCATGAACACCCATGATGGGCCATTAAAATCCTAGGTTCCTTTGAAATACCTCCCCTCTTGTGGTCTCTATAAGGCAGCCAAGTATCCCACGCTAGCTCTCTCATCATATTAGTCAGCAGTGTTTTGCAGCAGCAAACGTGTTTCTTCCACCTGTTTCTCAAGGGCTGCTGCTCAGCAGTGGCTCAGCCGGGTTTGGCAGGGCTGGGCCTGGCTCCATGAGTCTTATTCTCGAGCCCAGAAGAGGGAGGCTCTCCAAGGGCTTGCTGTTCTTGTGGCGTAGGGCAGAAGCCCAGTGGGGACCAAACCACACGAGTGCACTTCGCGCCTTTGACTGAACTGGGCTCACGTCTGCTCACATCCCATTGGCCAAAGCAAGTCATGTGACTAAACCCAAAGTCTGTGGGATGGAGACGCACACTCCACCCAGAGTAAGATTTCTCAGCCCAAGTGCTGTTGACATTTTGGACCAGACATACCCCTGTGGTTGGGCTGTCCTGCGTGTTGTAGGACATTTAGCAGAATCCCTGGCCTCTACCCACTAGATGCCAGCACTCTCCTCTAGTTGCGACGATCAAAGCTGTTCCCTAGGATCACCTCCAGTAGAGAATCACTGACGTACTGGGAAGCATGCGAGGGTAGGGAGGGTATGGAGAATTGGACAAAATGTATTATCTGCCACACCTGGCCCATTATTTGAACACATCTCAGTTTTTGGTTCAGAAGCACCAGTCATCATACAGGGACTCGATTTCCAAAAGGACAGGAGAGCCAGGGTCCTCATTTGTCAGTCCCAGGATTGCTCACCATGGCTGTAATTATGAATGACACTGCCCTCACCCGCTCACTCCCCCACCTTACACAGAAAGCCATCTTTGTCACTCTTGTCCAGTGGCTCTCAAAGCGTGGTTCCCAGACCAGCAGATCAGCAGCACCGGCAGCACCTGAGAATGTGTTAGAAATGCACCTTCTTGGGCCCCAGCCCAGGCCTCGGGTGAGCCCAGCAATCTGTGTTGTCTGTAATAAGCCTTCTTGGTGATCTGATCCACAATGAAGGTTGAGAACAGCTGCTTTAGCCCAAAGAAGTGGTTTTTAACCAGGGGTCTAGGACGGGGTCTCCTGGGACCCCTGCACCTGGAGGTGCTCGTTCAGCGGGCCTAGGGTGCAGCCTGGTCTGTGACTTTTCTGGAATCTCTCCTGGTGCTCAGAATGCCCATAGATGCCTTTTTGGAACCACTGTTGCAGAGACTTCTCTAGCCGCTTGGGCCAAAGCCTGTTGGACTAAGGTAGGGACCATGACGCATTTGTCATTCGTTTCCATGTATTTCTTGAGCCTCTGTTGTTTGCTAAGCCCCATGCTAGGCTCTGTGGAGTATTGAAAAGTATATAAAATAGGGTTCTTGTGCTCCAGTCATTTGCAGCCCAGACAGAGACATGTGTAAATAGCTGACGAACATAAGAATACTGCTAGGGCACATCGTAGCCAAAAAAAAAAAAAAAAAGTGATGTGGAAACACACCCAGCCAATGACACAGCAATGATAGTAAAATTAGTAGCTTACCATAATTAATAGCTGCTGTGACACAGGGCTCTGAAGATGTGATGAACTGGGCTGCAGTCAGTTCAGCACCCAGAACTAGGAGCCTATTTTGTGTGCGTGAAGCTGACTGCAGGAAGGCTGCTTCCTATGCTCTGTAGCGGCTGGTTTTCCTCTGGCTGCTTGTGGCCTGCTCCACTGTAGTGATTTTGTTTTCCTTGTGAATTGGGTTTCTTTTGGCATCTAAGTGCACTGTCTTTTGAGGAACAGATTATTTATTTAATTTTTTAATTTCATCTGTGTAAGGCATCTTTAACTTCCTCTGTCAATGTTTGCATGTGTATTTAATCAAAATGTAATATGTGTTTTGAGGGCTGACCATGTGCCAGGTACTGTGGGAGGGCTTTATGTGCATTTTTTAATCGTTGTGTACCACTGCGAAGGGAAAAATGATGCCCTGTTTTATAGAAAAGGAAACCGGGGACCGGAGAGGTTAAGTAACTTGCCTAGGATCACACAGCAGTCAGGCCTGTTTGAATCCAGTGCCCAAGACCTTGCTGGAACATACGTATAAATTACTCTGAAAGAACTAAGTGATGCTTAAATTGCAATCTTGAACTTCCTGGCTAACCCAGGTGTTTTCCTTATTTTAGGGGATCCCAACAAGCCCTCAGGATTCAGAAGTGTGAAGGCTCCAGTCACCAAAGTGGCCGCATCTGTTGGAAATGCCCAGAAATTGCCCATGTGTGACAAATGTGGCACTGGTATTGTGTGAGTATCTGCCTTCCCCAGGCATTGGGGGAGCTGCGGGTTGGGGAAACCATGACAATATGGAAAGTGTGGGATGGTGCACATTTTGGGTGTGATGGGGAAAAAAATCCTACCTGAAAAATGGAGCAGAAAGACGTGGTAGGCTCTGTGTCCCAGAGCCACGTGGTGAAGGGTTTCCTTGGCCGTAGAACCCTTAGGACATGAACGTGTGAAACCAGAAAAAGCAGGGCTGCTCTGTGGAAGTGGGAGAGACTTCCGGAAAGTTTCAAGTGTCCTGTCTCTGGACTCCAGGAATGAGAGGCCCACTTGATGACTGGAGGCCCATTGGGAGGCTCCGATCTGCCCTTTGATGGGCCTCTTGGGAGAAGCCCCTGTCCCGGGTGCCACCTTCCTGTGCTCGTCACTAATGGCGCCACCTTCCTCCCTCCCCCCTGCAGTGGTGTGTTTGTGAAGCTGCGGGACCATCACCGCCACCCTGAGTGTTACGTGTGCACCGACTGTGGCACAAACCTGAAACAGAAGGGCCATTTCTTTGTGGAAGATCAAATCTACTGTGAAAAGCACGCCCGAGAGCGGGTCACACCACCCGAAGGCTACGACGTGGTCACCGTGTTCCCCAAGTGAACCAGCAGATCTGCACCCAACACTAATTCTCCAACCAGCCCCTGTTGTAACTTGTTCTCTGAATGCTCTGGCCCTCTCCTCTCTTGGAAGTGCTTGCTTCCTTTGGTTTTATCCCTGCTCATGAAATGTCGCTTCCCCCACCTTTGCTAACTGACTCACACTGGTGTATGATGCCGGCTTTTATAACTAATGGGAAATTGTTCCGTTCAGTGTCCCCATGCGAGCATCATGGTGTCTTCTCTCCTCAGTTCATCTCTGCTGCAAATGGACATCAGCCAACTTTGAACCAAACCGAATTTAATGTCTGACATTGATTTTGTTTTTATCCAATAAATTTATAAACTAAGGTGGTGTGGTGTCCTTTATCATATTGAATAATAATGGGTTAAAACTTTGGGGGTAATGGTTTAACCCCCACTGCCAGCTCTAAAGACTGGTGCTTGCCTGGGCAAGGGCTTAGAATCCACTCACGCAAGGGCTGTAATTGTTTTGCATTGCAAATTGTCCTTTCACTTTCTATTTTCTTTTTTTGCTCATTCTTCAATCTAAATGAAAGAAGAGATAAGGTGAAAATCAGTTTTTAGCCTATCAAAATAGTCTTCCTTTGCAGGCGCATGTCTGCAAAAGAAACTTTCTTATTCCTTATAAGTTCATCTGTAAAATAGGAGTTGAGCTAAATTATGGTCAAATTTTAAAACATGCAAACTCATTGCGTTCTGGTAATTGCAATATCCTAAAGTTCTACAAGATGGCATGCCTTCCCCTATGAAAGTGGAACCTTGGACCTGAGGGGATAGCTTTCCTAGAAATCTGATTTGTTTTTTTTTTTTTGCTTTATTGAAACAATGAACAAGAGCTTTTTCTCCTCCTTTTCTTACCAATGCTTGAAAGCCAAACAAAACATCTTATTTACTTTTTTTATACAAAAAAATGACAGTAAAATAAATGTGCTTTTAGTAATTTGTACTCATTTTTCTTAGTTTTTCTTCTAGAGCAATATAGACTTCCTTTCTTATAATCTTTCAAATATCCGACCTCATCTTTCTCTCTCTCTCTTTGCTCCTTTCTCCTGTGGACCTACACTTAGTTATTTCAACGTAATGTATAAAAGGGCTTCATGATTCTGAACTCCCCTGTTCTTTCTTATATAAATGCTTAATTCCCTCCAGACTTTGCAAACAGCTACGAGTCTGTGGTGATAGCTGTAATTCCTATGTATAAGAATTTAAAAGAGTAGCCTCTTTTAATGCTTTTCTTTTGCCTTGCAGATAGCTTTTAGTTACAGAATAGTACAAATAAAGGCAGAGCGTGTGGATGGGTATTTGGAAGAGCATTATTTAAATGAGCTACTATGGACCAGTTAATTGGGATTTGAGAGAAAAGTGATGTTTGGTTTTCTACATATTGACTTCTTGGTGATTTGGCACTTTTTCAGTGGATGTTTCTTTAGAGCTTTTAAAAATTAAATTGATAATGTAATCTGAAAGACAAAGTTACAGTGTATGACTTATTGCTTTAAAAAATATTTTCCACTATTTTCCTCACTCTTTGATCCTGTTTTTCCCTGAGCTAACCTACAATGGGACCTGCTTCTATATTTTCTAGAACCATTTTTATTATAAAGATCAGAGTTTTATTAACTCAATGAAGAAACTAATTGACAACATCGGGATTCTGAGCTCACCATGGATCCAAGCAAAGCCAAGATACTTTCTTCCTGAGCAATCATTCATGTTCTTGTCTCTTTCAAGTCTAAAATTTATCTAGACCTATCTGTGACATTTGGTGTTTTAACACTAAAATCTTGCCCAGAGCTCAGAGTCATCCATCTGGGAAAGACCCTGGGGACTTAGTCCCATCATTTTATTTTATGGATAAGGGAATTAACTCTCAGAAAGGGGAAGAAAAGATTTTTCAGGTCTTTTAGAAAACAAAAATAGAAAATAGAGCTATAACCGAAGTCTGCTGGCCTCCTGTCCAAGAGTTGATCTGCTCCACTCAAGGCTGAGTCTCCATAAAGCATCCTGGGAATTCCAAAGGACCGCCCACACCAGTCAGCAGCGGCCCAAGAGCCCTGATAAAGTGGTTCCATTTCCATGATGTTACCCTCTAATCAAAACTTCAGAGGGGCCGGCCGAGTGGCGCGATGGTTAAGAACTGGCTTGGGATGCCAGAGGGCCCCGGTTCGGATCCCACATATGAGGGCCAGTGACACTGCCCTCTACAGCTAAGATGCTGAACAACAGCTCAACCTGGAGCTGGGCTGCTGTGAGTCGCTGGTGACGGCGTAGGCTGCAGCCCCTGTGGCAGTGGGTTGCCATGGGCTACCGTGTATGGCCAGCAGCCAGCGTGAGCGGCCAGCAGCCACAGTGAGCGGCCGTTCAGAAGCCGGCGACTGATCTGCCTCGCCCGAGAAGAGCGCAATGATGGTGCCAACTTGGGCCAGTGAAGCAACGTCCTCCACAACTAGACTGAAGAACAAAACGACAGCAACTTGTCTGTTCCCCTTCCCCAATTCCCCAGCGCTGTTCCCATCCCCCCAATTCCCCAATAAAAATCTTTAGAAAACAAACAAACAACAAAAAAAAAACCTTCAGAGACCCAATCCTCAAACTACTCAGCTGACCTTATCCTGGGAAGCAGGAAGTAACACCCTGGAACAGAGGACATTTGGGTTTTGGGGGCTAGAGATACTTCGGGGGAAGTGATACTGGCAGGAATACACTGACTAGGGCTGGGTTTGGATGCTTTAGTAGGGACCTTGGCAGCCTCCTTGTAGCTGAGTTGGGGATGATTGGATATGTTGCTGTGGACTTTTCCTATGTGACCTATATTGTGAGTTTTTTTGTTTTGTTTTTTTATCATTTTTATCATGACTTTTGGTAAATGCTTTTTCTGCATCTATTGATATAATCATGAATTTTTATTCTTCATTCTGGTATTGTAGTGTATCACATTAGTCGATTTGTAGATGTTGAACCATCCTTGCATCCTTGGGATAAATCCCACCTGATCATGGTACAGATTCTTTTAATGTGATATTGAATTCAGTTTGTTAGTAATTTGTTGAAAATTTGTGCGTCTTTGTTCATCATTCTGGCTCCAGTATCAGGGTAATGCCGGTTTCGTGAAATGAGTTTGGAAGTTTCCCCTTGTACTCATTTTTTTTTTGGGGGGGGGAAGAGATTGAGAAGGATTGATGTTAATTCTTCTTTAAATATTTGATAGAAGTCACCAGTGAAGCCATATGGTCCTGGACTTCTGTTTTTTGGGAAATTTTTTTATTACTGATTCAATTTTCTTATTTGTTATTAGTCTGTTCAGATTTTTTTTTTCATGATTTAGTCTTGGTGGGTTCTATCTATGTTTCTAGGAATTTATCCATTTCTTCTAGGTTATCAAGTATGTTGACATTTCTTGCAAGGCAGATTTAGTAGTGATGAATTCCCTCAGTTTTGTAAAGGAAAGTTTTTATCGTCCCTTCATTTCTGAAGGATAGCTTTGCTCAGTAAAGTGTTCTTTGTTGGCAGTTCCTTTCTTTCAGTACTTTGAAGGTATCATCCCATTCTCCCCTGGTCTGCAAAGTCTCTGTTGAGAAATCTGCCGATAACATTTTCCTTTTATGAGAGAAATTTCTCTTGTTGCTTTTAAATCCTCTATTTGTTTTTTATTTTAAACAGCTTTATTTGTGTTTTGGAGAAGATTGCTTTGGATGAAATTTTGGGGTGACCTATCATGCCCTTGGATATCCAGATCTCTTCCTAGGTTTGAAAATTGTCAGCCATTATGTCTTTAAAGAAGCTCTCTACCCTTTTCCTCCTCTCTTCTCCTAGGACTCCAATGATGCATACATTATTTTCTTGATGGTATCCAATAAGTCTCATAGACTTTATTTCTTTTCATTGTTTCCTCTTTTTGCTCCTGTAAAATGATAATTCCAATTGATCTGTCTGCTAGCTCACAGATTCTTTCCTCTGGTTGTTTCAGTCTTGTGTTGAAACTATTGAATTCTTCACTTCAGTTATCGTATTCTTCAGATCAAAAATTTGTATTTGATTCTTTTTTATGTTTTCTATCTCTTTGTTAAACTTCTCATTTTGTTCTTTTTTTGTCTTCCTGATACCACTAAATTGTTTATCTGTATTCTCTTGTAGCTGTCTGAGAGTCTTTAGAATAATTGTTTGTAATTCTTTGTTGTGCAATTCCTAGACCACCGTTTCTTAGGGGCCAATTATGAGAGATTTACTGTAGTCCTTTGATGGGCTCATTTTCCCCTGATTCTTCATGATCCCTGGAGCCTTGCATAGGTATCTGAAGATTTGACAAAGCCGTCACTTCTTTTAGTCTTTTTCAGTAAGAAGACTTTCACCTGTGGGTGGGAGCATGCTGGCGTATGCTGTGACTCTAAGTCAAGTGGTGCAGGAGGTGAAGCGTGGGAGCATGTGGCAGCATTGTCTCTGGGAAGGCATAATGTCTCTTTGGCTCAAGCTACTGGGGGCCACAGCATTGACAATTCTGTGGACCTTGGTGAGCACTGCCAGGGGTCTACATTGCCCGCAAGGGCTGTAGGGGTCCTCAGCGGTGACTCCAGGTCTGTGGCTAGGGACCAGGACAGGCATCACGGGTGGCTATAGCTGGTGGTAAGCACACAGCTGTATGCGCCAGTTGTAGGTTCTATGTGGGGGCAGGGGCCAGGTGCAGATACATGTAGTGTGGAGGGGCCAGGGTAGGCAGCAAGGATCAGGCCCTCTAAGGACTCGCAGTTATGGAGGCCCTACTGGGGTGTACACCCTCCCCGCAGGTGTGTGCACTGCAATGAATGTCAGTGATGGGAGTTAGGTCGTGGGCATGCAGGCGCACAGCTGGAGAGGCTAGCTACAGGTGTGCATGATGATGCTGGCCAGTGACAGAAGACAGGGCCTGATCTGGGCCCACAGGCAGCTTCAAGAGCCCTGGCTGTCAGTGGCTCTCTCATGGCTGCACACCCTCCCTCCAGGCATGTACACTGCAGCAGAAACCAGAGATGGGGGTCGGGCGGGGGACAAGTGGGTGCTCAGCTGGAGGGGCTAGCTCCAAGTGTGTGCCCAGCAGCTGGTGTTAACTGGTGGTGGTGGTGGTGGTGGTGGTGTGTGTGTGTGTCTGTGCCTAGGCTGCCATCTTGCACTCACACAGCTGCAGAGGCCTGAGTTGGCTTCTGGTGTGGTTCTTGGATTCCAGCTGGGGTGGGAGCAAGAAGTGGGGAGGGACTCTAGCAGCCGGCATCAGCAAACGTGAATACCTGTGTGGCAAAAGCTGGTGTCATCGGCAGGGGGTCCAAGCTGGCTGTGCTGGCTACGTTGGTTCTGTCAGTGGTGAAATCTGCTGATTTGTCTACTGAGCAGGTCCCTGTGAACTGCAGTGGTTCCTGCTGTGTGCCTGCTATTAGTAGCCCCTGCTCTCCTTCCTTGTTCCTAGCCATCTCTATCCATCTCAGCTTTGCTGCTCTGGGTGGGATGAAACTGAAGCAGGACCTTTGGACTGTGACCCGAAAGGATGGAGAAGCTATTATAGTTGCTGACTCCACTATTCATTTTTGGGTGAGGGGACCTCTTTTGATCTCCCTCTTGGTGCTGAACAAGGCCAACTTGGGGGATAAAATGATTTTTAAAATGAACTTGTGCCTGTCCTCTACCTCCTCACAAATTAGAATCCTGGCCAGGGTACCTAGAAAGTAGATTTTGTATTCAAGTATTCCCATATTTCTTTGTTAAGGATTTTAATGGTCACCAAGAGCAAAGGGAAAGAGACTATGTGTCTTGGATTAATAGTCCTGTTTCTTTTTGAGCTTTGGTTGAGGGTTTCAGGTAAAAGAATGCTGCTTCCTTACCTTTAATGTCCTTATAATTAGAGGTAAAACAGGTTATCAAAAACTTTCACCATCTTTAAAGGAGCTTACGTCTGTGTAGCAGAGAGTTAAATATTAAAAGCAAGTGTTTCCTACACTCGGTATTACGGTAAAAATCTCTTCAGATTTAGGTGATCAAAAACATTTTGTATTTGAGGAAAGAAAGACCTTTCAACTAGTGGCTCTGATGTTAACCCATTGTGTAACTATATACTGAGGTCTTTGCCTCTTGGAGCCATTATTATTTATTGCTCTTAAAATAAGGAAGTAATGAAAGTCATCAGATGATTTCTAAGATCTATTCCAGTTCAATTATTTCTATGTTTTCTTCCTTCTATGAAGAGTAAAATGGCCAAGCATATGACATATGACCCCCAGAAAGGGTGCATAGACAGAGCTAAGACACAAGTTTCTCAGGCAAAGGGACTGCTCTGAAGAGAGTGAGACGGAATTACTTTTAAACAAGTCATCTATATATCTACACACACACATACATGTACATATACATATAGGAGTATATATAAAATTGTTTTAAACTCTGTTCTAGAACCTGAGGCAGTGTACATTGGATGAGGAATCGAACAGCTAATAATGGCATATCTTTGTAATCAAACTCTTTGAGTCTTTGGACCCTGGCCTCTTGAAGTCTAAAGTAAATTAAAAAGGTACAAACTTTTCTGAACTCTCGTTTTTATTTGTCCATGATGAAAACACTGACTCAGTAACTGTTTAATTTTAAATCATTTTCTCACTGCCAAAGTAAGACTGCAAGTTTAAAACTAATTACTCAACAAATGTTTCTGAAATATAATTAAATTGAAATACGTTCCAGTGCAGAGCTCACAAATTATAAAACCAGAGCTGGACTCCTTACCCTGCCTTAAAAATGGAAATTTCGGTGAATTCCTTCAGTTCTGATTCTCATTTTCCTCCTGTAAAATGGATAAGTAATACCCGTCTCATGAGTTGATTATGAGATTCAAATAATAAGATATTCACAAGAGTGCTTCATAAACTTCACAGAATTCTATAAATAAAAATAATTATTATTTTTTTAATTAAAGAAAGCAATTTATTTTTCTTTTATAAAGCACTTTAAGATTCTAGGCACTTTAAAAATCTAATAGTGGTTTTACAGACGACTACTCAAAGTTGGTTCTTTCATGTAATATAAAGTGGCATTTTTATTTTTATTTTTGAAAAATAAGAGCCAAGTTTATTTGTTCATTTCTTGCATTTGAAGTACTTTACTCCTCGATGACATCCTTGGCCTGAGACTCTTTCCAGAATCCTTAACCACCACACAACTGCAACCAACCACTTTACCGGGCTTTCCCTCTCTGTCAATTTCACAGAGGCCCACCCATTCCCCTAGCTTCTTGCTGTCATCAACCTTAGTTAGGTTGATTTGGTGTCCAGCACAGAGGGCTTCCACCAACTTGACGTTACATAAGTTCATCGCAGTTGGATGCAAGCACACAAAGATGGGCTTGGCGCTTGTCTAAGGCCTTGGCAGCTTCACAAATTCCGCGTGCTAGGCCGTTGTGGATGAGGCACATCCACACCCTTGGTAAAGCAGTATTAACATCCATTACACCTCCAGCAGCATTGCCTTCCTGGGCCATGGCGGTGGGTTATGGGTGGAGCCGAATCCTGAATGCATCCAAGCCTCTGCCTCCGTGCTACTCCACGGTGGCAAGGAAAGAGCGGCATTTTTATTTTATTACACTTAGAAGCTGATCTAAATATGTATGTTCTTGTCTGTGAAATCTGGACATAGTAGTCTTTCCAGACTGAGGTATTTATGATGTAGTTAGTTCCACCCTAAGCCTGACTACCTGGTGACTACTAATTATCCTTACTTCTCTGCTGCTACAGAAGCTGTGGAGGAAGCTCTTCTCTCTCAGAACCTGCTTGCTGACTTCCTCTGAGATTGACACTTCCTGCTGCAGGACTGAGCACATTTCATTACAGCAGCGTAGAAGACTAAACCATTGGGAGTCCTGTGTTGGGCTCCATATCTGCATGGCTCCTAAGATGGGGTCTTCTTGCCCTCCAGGCTGCTGTTGTATTGGCACTCATTTCTTCTTTTCTTAAATTATAATTAGCATACGTGATGTGTCAGATGTCCTGGATTCAAATTCCAGCCCTATTCTTTATTAACTGGACAGAGAGGCATCTGAATCTTTTCAAAATAACTCAGCCTCAACTTTTCTATTATAAAGCATGTTGTGAAGTTCTTTAAGTGAGCTAACAGGGTGGAAAATATCTGGCACAGTAGAGCCACTAAAATATTTCTTCATTCCCTCTTGTGGTGTTGGTAATGTTTGTTGTATTGTTGTGGCTATTTTATGAAATTAGGCTACTTAAATATTTTAAAAATCCTGTTTATTTTTTATAAATGTTATCTAAAATAATATTTAAATTTATCCAAAACAAATGTTATTGATGTACTTGCTAGCCTTGAAGAACCTTCTAGAACTATTGTCTATACCACTTAACTTTGTTGTTTTCATCATTATTATTTTGCACTTAATTTTTAATACACAGAATTCACTTTTAGTGTTCATATTTATTTGGTTCATACTGGTATATTTTATTTGGTTCATATGGGCAGTATATTCAGGAGGTGCATCTTTTATTATTTTTTTAAACATTTAAAAAATTTTTTCAGTTACAGTTGACATACAATATTATATTAGTTTCAGGTGTACAACACAGTGATTAGAGATTTATATAATTTATGAAGTGATCACCCCAATAAATCTCATACTCATCTGACACCATACATAGTTATTACAATATTATTGACTATATTCCCTATGCTATGCTTTACATCCCATGACTATTTTATAACTACCAATTTGTACTTTTTAATCCCTTTCCCTTTTTCACCTCCCTCCCCCGCCATGTCTCTTCTGTCTGGCCACCATAAAAATGTTCTCTGTATCTATGAGTTTGTTTTTGTTTTGTTTATTTTGTTCTTTAGAGTCCACATATAAGTGAAAGCATATAAAGTGAGTTATTTTTTAGTTATGGTTTCCACTGAAAACTTAGATATTTATCAATACTAAGGCGACTATTTTTTAAAATTAAATTTATTGGGGTAACATTGGTTAATAACATTATATAAATTTCAGCTCTACAACTTTATACTATGACAACTGTATACTTTATTGTGTGCTCACCACCAAAATCTAGTCTTTCTGTCACCATATATGTGACCCCCCTTTACCCTCTTCACCCTCTCCTCACCCTCCTTCTCCTCTGGCAATCATCATTCTGTTGTTGGTATCTAAGATGGGTTTGTTTGCTTTGATTTGTTTGTTTTGGTGTTAATCTCTGCCAATATCCCAAAGTACACTGAAGATAAAAACATATTAACCCAAAAGTTCAAAAACAGTGCATGTTTGGTGATCAGCTTGTACTTAACTATAAAATCATTGGATTATTAGCTTACAATTGCCTTTACACAGAGTACATCTCTGTATACAATGGATCCCTTCACAGTCCTGATAATTTGTCTTTCTTGTTTGACTCTCCTTTTTCTGTGGAACCGAAGCTATGCCAAAGGGAAGCTGCCACCTGGCCCCACTCCCCTCCCAATCATTGGAAATATGCTACAGCTAAATCTTAAGAACACCACCGAATCCCTTAACAAGGTAAAGTATGATTAATTTTCTTCCAATTGTTGGCAATGAATAGATAAGACAGCCCTATATCTAAATAAAATATGGCCCCAGACACCACGTTTTAAAGAAGTGGTTTTAAAAGGAAGCATCCATTGGATACCCAGACGTGATTTTAAATGGTGTACAGCTAAAAGGCTGCCAGAAGAGAATGAGATCCATGAGACGATTGTGGAAATTGCCAAAAATAGGAACTACCTGTCCATATTGTGATCTAGGTCCCCTTTTTAGTAATTATCCTTTGGTGAACTCTAATGGTAATGAAACTGCTTTTAATTTTTAAAATATTTACTGATTACAGAGGTACAACACTAAAATTTTCTTAAAAGTACACATTGATGTGAAGTTGAGGAAATAACTAAACGTTAGGGAACTTTCACAGTTTCTAAATATCATATGCGCTCAATGAATGAATGAATAAGTGCTCTACTCTTATCTACTTATATAGCAATAGCTCTTTAAATCTGGACAGAATTATCTGAACTCTGTCTTCCCTGAGATGGCTAGTTATCAGACAACGGCCTCTGGAAGCCCCTTCTTGTGTTTTCGGCTCTGGATTGGAAAAGATTGTGTCAGCACCCCAGTGCATCCATTTGTTAAATCACAGTTTTCGGGCAAGTTTTAAAAATAACTCTGAGCTTTAACTACCATTTCTTTAAAAAGTGGATAATATTTATTTTGCACAAGTTATTAGTATATCGTATATTCAACAAGTTGTCGAATGCCTACTCGGTGTTAGGCACTATGTTAGATGCTGGGGATTTTCAATGGTGAATGATAAAAGACCGTAGTATTATGGCATTTATAGTCTAAAGGGTAGGCATATAGTTGTGAAATAATCATACAAATAAGTGTATGATTACAAGCCATGTATCAGGGACACAGTAGAAAGAGAGCACATAGCTTGGAGGACCAGAGGTGGGAGGAACAGTCAGCAAAGGGTTCTCTGAGGAAGTGAAGTTGGAGCTGAGATCTAAAGAAGGATTAGACACTAGCCAGACACAAACCAGATAAAAGTTTGTTCCAGGCTTTTTTCAAACGGGAGGAGAATTACTTGTTGGAGTACCTGAAAAAGGACCAATTTGGTTGTAACCCAGAGAGTAAGTAAAAACACGGTGTGAGATGAGATTGGAGAGATAAACAGGGGCCAGAACATGTAGGTCTTACAAGGATTTTAAGGATATTGGTCTTTTGGATGAGAGCTACGTGATGCCATAAAGTGCTTAAAGGAGTGTCATGTTAACATTTGTCTGTGAAAAGATCACTCTGGGATCTTTATGGAGAATGAATTGTCAAATAGCAGAAGGACTCCAACACTGGACACGATGAAAGAGTATGAGTCCTATATCATTTAATAAGCTGAATAGGCTGCCGTGAGAGAAAGACCCCAATAATACGATGGCTTAAAGAAGATAAGAGTTTCTTTCAATTTCACATAATGATGGAGAGATGAGTGCCGGTGGGCTGCCTCTGTTCCATGCGATCTTTCAGAGAACCGGTTTTTCTTGGTCTGGTAGTTTACCATCCTGTGTCCCTAAGCTATTGTTCTCATTGCATGGTCCCAGCAGGGCCATCTCCATGCTAACATTTCAACCCATGGGTAGGGGGAGAAACGGAGAGCATGCTGTTACCATTTATGCAACAGTGTAGGATTTGCACACATCACTTCTGCTAACATCAGGTCATGGAAATTTATTCTCATGGCCACATAAGGAAGCAGGGAAATGTCTGTGACTACACTGCCATGTCTTTATGTATTATTAAAATGTAGAGGTCTCTGGTGCTAAAAACAACATGTAGAGAATGGATGATGAGGGACAATTATTAGTCTACACGTAGGTCAAGATGGAGGAACTTCCCTTAAACAGGAGGAGAAACATGTCATTTATTGTACCTATAGGGAAGAAGAAGAAATTTGGAGCAATTATACATTTGGCAGAAAAAAATTAATAAAATAATATGCATAACATTTATGATACAGCCCCATTCACATAGTAGAAACTGAATAAAGGATAACTATTGAGTTGATCATAATAACAATATTACTAATAATATAATGATGATTACCATTTAAGTAATGTGATTTATTATTAAATTACTGGGTTTAGACATTGAATTAAATTTTTTTTTTATTTGATGACTTTTTTATTTTTTCCAAAACATGTACTTTTTCTTTCTTTCTTTTTTTAATTTAAGGATAGTTGGTAAACAGTATTATATTAGTTGTATTAGTTTCAGGTGGAAATCTTTTTTTTTTTTACAGTGGGGGTCAGGAGTATAGAGCTTTTTTTTTTTAGATTTTTTCTTTTTAATTGGGGAATTGGGGGATGGGAACAGCGCTGGGGAATTGGGGGAAGGGGAATAGACAAGTTGCTGTCGTTTTGTTCTTCAATCTAGTTGTGGAGGACGTTGCTTCACTGGCCCAAGTTGGCACCATCATTGCGCTCTTCCCAGG